AAATAGCTGCAAGAATCCAGTGATCTCTGATGGTCCATCTCTACTATCTAATAAATATTAGACTTAGAGAAAAAACACTATATTCCTCTTCCTGCCTGTCCTCCAAACATCTGCTTCATACTGTGAAGCATCATGTTTCTACTAGGGTGAATAAAGAACTAAGAGTTGTGAAACTCAATTCTCGCATCCTCCATCAAATTTGTTTACAAAAAGTATCGTTAGTCCGGTACCACCAGCTTTCGTCTGTACCCATTGTTTAAATTGGAGTATCTTCAAAAGTGAATTCTGTAACTAAATCTATCCACTACTGATCCGTGATAAACTTGCCGATATTAAAAATCAATTGGTAATTCAATCTATCAATGGTTAACTATGACTTTAACTCAACAAAAGTCAACAAATTACGACATTTCCATACATACCATGCACCTCATCTTTATATAAGTATTTGGTCTCACCATCTTGTCTTTGACACACCCTGCTTCTTTAAGACAAGTTAATGACAATCCGACTTCTTTGTCTAACTTCAAAAGAATATGAAATCTTCCCATCCTCTACGTAAGTCATCAATTTCCTTGCAACAGCTAATTGTTGCAAATTGTGACTAAAAAAATAATTCCATATTATTTATGGAAATGAAGAGACTTAGTTTCTTCCTCCATGTGCAACACCGGCAAATTCCTCCTAATGACACGCCCTCTTGAATAAATTCTTGATTAAGAATTTACTGATGAATATTTATTCAGTCTCCTATCCTCACTCGGTGTCATTCCAATAAGTACTTAATCCAGTACTAAATCCTCCTTCTGACTTGGTAACAACTTCTGAAATTTTCAAGAAGATGTTTAGCAAATCCAGCACCTCTGATATATCATCATGGCGTTTTAGTGATCTTTATTTACCACTACCTCATGCATACCGAAACATTAACAATCACCAATATCATGGCGTTGTAATATGATACGAATCCATACCTAACGTAAAGTATATCAAATTAATCGTTCTAGATTGTTTGACTTGTAGTGATGGTTTAATTATCCCATTTCAAAACACACTATAATGACACATGTCCAGGTCCAATAGATTGGTTAGATTTATGTGTATCTACTAAATCCTATGACCGTATGCTCACAAATTTAGCGTAAATAGCGCTATGACTCCATGTTATTAAAACAATAATTGGTTGATCACACATTTATGTCCCCAACTAATCCACATACCAAATCCCGAGTAATTAATAAAAAAATAAAATAAAACACGTATGATAAACACAATAGAACAAAATATACTCCTACTTAGGATATCGTTCGTTCTAGAAAAGAAAGTCTCCTTTGAAATCAACTTTACTAGATTGTTTCAAAATTTCCTTTTATAGTTTCGTAAATAATCATTCAACCTTGAAACATATCCTTTAAAACATCGCTTAAAAGCATAAATCTTTTCCTAAGCAAATACCAAGGGCTTAACCCTCATCCTCCTTATATGCGGAATGTAAACTGTCTTACTTGACTTTATAAATCGAATTAGAACGTCACAACATAATACCAATGCCTTTTTGTATGTGATTTAAAAATTATGTATTTCGTTCTGATAAGAACACATCCGATCCCCAAACTTCTGAATAATACTTCTTATACACCTCTTTTAGAGATGATAAGAAAGATTTAATTATTTGTAGATTGATCAACCCCAATTCTACTAATAACATTCGCTATACTTTTAGCAATTCAGATCACCTCGCGCAATCATCTCTCTTCAAGATTTAGTACCCTCTTTATTGGATACACATAAATCTCCTCCATTAGGATCCTCTTCGGCTCCTACTCCTTGCTTGTCTCATTTTTGAGATCAACTGAAGTCGTGTTGGCCCCGATATGTGATGACCTATCACGTACACCTAAATCCTTCCTTGGCTTATACTTTTAAAGTAACGCCAAATGAACCTAAACCATCGATCCCTAACTCAAATATAATTGACATCAGCTCCTCCTAACAAACCGTAAATAGAGTACAACGAATCCTAATACGGGCTCTAAGTTTAAGAGACGCAACGCGGAAGTCATATAACGAAAGACACTCCTAAGGATACTTGAACCTGGAATGCTCTGATACCAACTGTGATACCCCTGAATTTTCGAATGCGGGTTGGCCAGGCCCACGCCCGAATACCCGAGGATATCAAAACAAATTGATAATAAACGAATACAGAGTATAAAAGAATAAAGAAGAATAAATAAAATGCTGACAAGAAACTAAAATGATAATCTAATAATAAACCTCATAATATATTTCCATTAATTAATAAACTCTTCTGATACAACTAATCCTCCAAAATACAACTCGGGAATCCATACTGTGTGGACCCCTAGAAAATCCAAACTAAACAAATGACAGTAATCTAAAACAGAAAATTGAATCATAAAGGAACTCCTATGTAACATCGGAATAATGAAGTAGACTGATCCCCGCTCAGCACGAACAACCTCTACTCGAGACGAACACCTGAAAAATAATGGTGGGTCAGGCCCACAAACAAGTTCTACTCTACTACAGTCCAAGCATAGATCCGATACACGTATACATCCTAGTCAATCCAACAGTAACTAGTAGTCCGTATATATATATATACACACTAAAGGAACCTCACTAGACTATAGGGTTGTCTCAACCTGAATAGTAGGCAACATGCAAAACGCACATATAGTGGGCATGAGTACCTAGACCTACCAGGGTACACAACTACACTATATCTAGCTACACATCCCTGGCGATATACTCGCCCTAACCATTGATCATGAGACTCAAGCTCATATCATGGCACCATACTTATATATATATAATCTAGTAACCATCCTATCCTGTATAAATTAATCCTCCATAAATCATTTAACTTGTTCAGTTGACCTGACTTGAATATAAGTAGGACTTAACATTTTAGTTAATCCATTCCCTTATATAATAAATTAATTCTCCATAAGTCATTCAACTTGTTCAGCTGACCTGACTTAAATATAAGTAGGACTTAACATTTTAGTTAATCCATTCCCTTATATAAAATAGGTAGGACTTAACTGATAAGTTAATCCATCCCTAGAATGCCACCGTCCCATACCGGTACATTAAACCACACAATCCAACAATTGATGTAACAATTAAGGAAATACATCAAACATTCCATAAATAACTATGATAAATATGATATCAAGTTATCACATAATAGGAATGACTTATTATTTCTTTAAACTTCCTATATCATATGTCCTACACAAACTGAATCTTATACATGATGATATTTTATTATACCGTTAAATAAGGATTCTCCATATCCAATTCATCCTACACATTTAATCTCAATTGCTAAAATATTTTAAAAGATTAAATCCATTCGTTTGTTTAAAACATTCAAATAGCAAGCATCATTATAATTGAGTCTATTTAAATTTATTAAAACCCAAACCTAGTCCCTATTTAATGTTTAGGAATCTTAGACATGTTTCTACGTTCCATCATTCCACAGATATGAAAAATACATAATTTAAACATGTAAAAATTCACATAAAAAATCAAATCAAAATCATGCATTTTATCAATTCATAATACAAGAACAGATATGAACCAATTTCATAAAACCTATGTTCTAACCCAATTAAACATGCATAATTATTTAATTTTATGTGTTTAATAAATTCTGGAATTTCCTAAGCATGTACAGAAACACGAATCAAAGGGAAAGAGATAGAAGAAGAACTTGCCTTAAACTTTCGGATTGAAAGTTAAACTTCTTCTTCTTTGATCTTCTCTCTAAAGGGTTTTCTCCTCATTCCTTCCTCTTTCTCCTTCTCTCTCTAACTCTCTCTCTCTAGAATATATTACGTGATATATTTTCACTCCTTTTTCAACCTATAGTTGTGTATTTATAGGCTAAATAATAACCCTATTCATTTTCCCAATCCAAGTCAACTTAATAAAGAAAAATAAAAAATGAAAATATTAAAAAGGTAACTTAAAATATGCTACGTATATAATCTATGTATATCCTTATTAATTAAATAAAATATATACATTAAATTATTTATTAATACTAAAGTTACCATAATATTAAAAGGTAACTTAAAACATGTTACGTATATAATCTATCTATATCCTCATTAAATAAATAAAATATATACATCAGGTTATTTATTTATACTAAAGTTACCATAATATTAAAAAAGTAACTTAAAACATGTTACGTATATAATCTATCTGTATCCTCATTAAATAAATAAAATATATACATCAGATTATTTATTTATACTAAAGTTACCATAATATTAAAAAGGTAACTTAAAACATGTTACGTATCCTTATTATATAAATATATAAAATATATACATCAGATTATTTATTAATACTAAAGTTACTATAATATTAATAAATTACTTTCATTTTTATATATATGTATATACATATATATATTTATATATATACATATAGAACTGTCTATGGGTAATTATCCATACCCATCCAACCTCCTATCCAAGTAGTCCATAGGACCCAATTAGTTAGCCCATTACCACTAACCATAACCATAAAATAAAATAAAATAAAATATTTAATCATTTAATTTACAATTAATTACAATTAATCAAATACATCATTTAAGCACACAATCTAATTAAACAAATAATACAAATAACACCTAGACAAAATATAAATAACACATAAATAAGTAGCCAATTAATCAAGTAACACTTAATTCAATTAAACACATAAACAATTAGTCAAATAATCAATTAAACAATTAAAAAGAATACAATAAAAATAAATAAATAAATACCGAGAATATCCTTTTAAAATTAGGGGTATTACAATTGCACTCATCAACAAGGACGGTTGCATCTCCGTTCACTGATAAAATTCTGAACGCGCCGAATCCGAAGAAGTTCTCCATGCCGGTTTTCATTCTGTTTGATGGAACAACCGATCCGGTCGACCACATCTACCACATTTAGTTGAAAATGGCTTTGAATACTAACAATGATCCTATGATGTGCAAATGCTTCCCTACGAGCTTGGATAGACCAGCTCTCAATTGGTTCAAGAATCTGGCTCAGGGCTCAATCACTAGTTTCCAGGACTTGTGCGATAAGTTCATAAGCCAGTACTATGGGAATAAACGTCCGGCTAAGGATGTATCAAGCCTTTTCACAATGAAGCAGCACGAGGATGAACGGCTCCAAACTTTTCTCACCCGGTTCAACCTCGTTAAAAGCATGGTAATGGAGTGTCATCCGTCCACAGCGGTCCAAGCATTTAAACTCGCAATGAACCGGGGGACGCTGTTCCATACCAGCTTGGTGGTTAATACGCCGAAGACCATAGACGAGCTGTACGAGAGAACTGACGGTTTTGTTCGTCTTGAGGAGGAAGAAACAGCTAATTCAAGGAAGACGTCAATTATTTCGACGGAAAAGAAGTCCAAAGCCAAGATCCGGCAAAAAAAAGCTCAGCCGCAACGTCATACCTCATGGAAAGCGAAAAAAAGGCCTAGGGAGGAGGAATCAGTAACTCCACTCAGAGTCACTTTAGCAAGGCTATACCAAGAAAACAAAGATAAGTTTCGCCCTCCTTTACCAATCAGACAACCTCTTGAAAAGAGGGATCAAACTAAACATTGTGTTTTCCATAGTGATTTTGGACATCAAACTAACGAATGCAGGAACCTAAGGAAGCAGGTAGAGATGCTAATAACAAAGGGGGAATTTGTAAGCTATGTTCAAGGTCTGGCGCAAGAGCAGAATCGACCGGCTGAACAGATCAAGCGGAATCAGAGGCCGAACCAATACAACTCTCAGCCTGTTCGGATTATAAATGCAATTCATGGACGACCTGAACAAACGACGGAGTCAGAGGAGTTGCTCAGAACGCGGTTACGTCAGGCCCAGCTGAAAAGAAGGATTGGTAGTGTGCATGCTTTGCACCAGCAGAACGCATCCACGCCGATAAAGTTCGACAGAACAGACCTGCTACGCGTTCAGATTCCTCATGAAGATCCATTAGTTGTCAGTCTGACGGTTGCAGAATGCCTGGTTCGAAGAGTTTTGATTGATCCAGGAAGTAGTGCAAATGTCATGCCAGGGTGACATTCGACCGACTTGAGATAGAACTCGAAAAACTTAAACCCACAGGAAATCCGTTGCTCGGATTTAATGGGAAGCGAGTAGAGCCCATTGGTATGGTGGAATTGATAGTACAAGCTGCTAAACGAGTTTTGACTGAGAGCTTTGTGGTCGTGGAAATTCATCCATCCTATAACCTCTTGATGGGTAGAGGGTGGATTCACAGAGTTCAGGGCATCCCATCAATCTTGCATTAAGTGATGCGATGCTTGGGTCCAGATAGGACCAAGGTGATTGACATACATGGGGACAGGTCACAGCTAAAGAATGTTATTCATTGACTTTGAAATCTGCTGGAAAAGGGAAAAATCCCATCCGTTCTGCCAATCCAAGATAGCAATTACAGGAACCTCCTCCCAGCAAAGATGGGGAGGAGGAGCCACCAGTTCTGACCACAAAACCTCTTCATGAAGTGAAAATCGACCATAAGAAGCCAGACCAAACAACAAAGGTAGGATCCAGACTTACAGAAGAGGAAAAACTAGAGTTGACTGATTTCTTGACTCGGAACGCAGATGTATTTGCATGGAGCCATTCAGATATGCCAGGGATAAATCCTTCTGTATCCTGTCATTCCCTCAATGTAGATCCGAACGTAAAACCAGTAAAGCAGAAACAGAGAAGATTTGCTCCAGAACGAAATCAGATTATAACTGAGAAGGTTGATCGGTTGCTCGAAGCAGGATTCATCAGAGAAGTTCAGTACCCAGCCTGGCTCTCTAATATTGTTGTAGTGCAGAAAAAGAATGGGAAATGGAAGGTGTGTATCGACTTCACTAATCTGAACAAAGCTTGCCCAAAGGATAGTTTCTTATTGCCAAGGATTGATCAAATGGTAGATGCCACCACAGGATACGAGCGATTAACCTTCCTGGATGCTTATTTCGGTTATAATCAAATCCCCATAGATCCAGTTGATGAAGAGAAAACTTCTTTTGTTACTGAACGAGGGACTTATTGCTATAAAGTCATGCCATTCGAATTAAAAAATGCTGGAGCTACTTATCAGAGGTTGATCAGCAAGATTTTTAAAAGGCAAATGGGAAGAACTGTCGAGGCTTATATTGATGATATCGTGGTCAAGAGTAAGAAGAAGAACGATCATTTAGCGCACCTGCAGGATATGTTCGATGTGTTGCGCCAATATAGGATGAAGCTTAATCCAGCCAAATGTTCATTTGGAGTAAGCTCTGGTCAATTTCTGGGACATATGGTCAATCATAGAGGAATTGAGGCCAGCCCAGTGCAGGCAGAAGCCCTGATCAGAAATGCAGAGCCAAAGACGATTAAGGAGGTGCAGGCACTCACAGGTCGAATAGCTACGCTGAGCCGATTTATTTCCAAGCTTTCGGACCGCTGTAAACCTTTCTTTGATATAATTCGAGGGCACGGAAGGCAAACCTAGGGGATGAATAACGACAAGCGCTAACCAGCCTGAAAGAATACATGCGCAACCCTCCGGTTCTATCTGCTCCCGAGCCGAATGAGAAGCTCTTTCTGTATCTTGGGGTATCCAACATAACGACTAGTGCCGTTTTGATCCGTTGTAAAGACGGAAAGCAATTTCTGATATTTTATGCCAGCAAAACAATGTTTGAGCCGGAAAGAAGGTACTCAAGGGCCGAACGGATGATCTTGTCGCTGGTCAACGCAAAAAGGAAGCTTAGACATTATTTCGAATCTCATCCGATCGTCGTCTTAATAACTTTCCCTTTAAGAATGATCTTGCACAAACCGGACCTATCAGGGAGAATGACAAAGTGGGCCATTGAATTGAGTTCATTTGATATTGCGTAGAGCCCAGCACGGTAATCAAAGGTCAAGCGGTGGCAAATTTCCCACTTGAATGTGATGTCGAAGATTTGGTGGAGGATTATAATTGTTCCTTGTAGAAGCTCTTTGTGGATGGCTCTTCAAATCAAATGGGGGCAGGGATTGGAATCTAATTGCGAACACCAGAAGGTACCACGTTGAGCCAAGCGATAAGACTTGAGTTCAACGCAACCAACAACGAGGCAGAATACGAGGCGTTGATAGCTGGGCTGAAGTTGGCTAAAGAGCTAAAGATCAAAAATCTGATTGCTTATAGTGATTCACAACTAATCATTCGGCAAGTCACTGGGGAATATGGGACCAAAGATAAGACCATGGAAGCATACCGAACTGCAGTTCTGCGTAAGGCGAAAGGTTTTGATCAGATCAGGTTCATCCAATTGCCGAGAGAGTATAACGAAGATGCCGACCGCTTGGCCTATAGTGCGTCCAGTTCTGGAGAGACTTTGGCTAGGGTTATCCCGGTTGACGTGCTGGTCCAGCCTTCCATTTTTAACGAGCTGCCTGATCCGAGCGCTCAACACATTAATGTTATACCATATGAGCCGAGCTGGATTGATCCGATCATGGCTTTCATATGTAATGGTGTATTACCCGAGCAGAAGGACAAGGCAAGAAAAATCAGGTCCAATGCCGCAAAGTATGCCATTGTGCGTGACCAGTTGTATAGGCGGTCCTTTTCGGGTCCATATTTGAAGTGTGCTACCCTAACAGAGGCTAGACAGATTATACGAACCATTCATGAAGGAGTATGCAGAAATCATTCAGAAGGAAGATCTTTGGCACACAAAGCAATGACACAAGGGTACTTTTGGCCAAACATGGCACGGGATACAGAAGAATTCTCCAGAAGATGCGATAAATGCCAGAGGTTCGGGCCGTTGATACACCAACCACTTGAAGACCTGCACGTAATGGCCACCCCATGGCTTTTCACGCAATGGGGGATAGATGTTGTTGGCCCTTTACTGACCGCAAGATCGCAGAATAAGTACGTTATGCTAGCAACTGATTACTTCACTAAATGGGTAGAAGCAGAGCCGCACCCTAGTGTCACCTAAACTCAAGTAAGATGCTTCATCTGGAATACTATTATCTGTCGTTTTGGCGTGCCAAGGTCAATCATGATGGACAATGGGACCAACCTCGATAGTAAGCAAGTGAAAGAGCTGCTGGAAGAATATGGAATCAACCAGAAGTTAGCAGCAGTCAGTCATCCCCAGGCTAATGGTCAAGCCGAAATCACAAATAGGACAATATTTACCTGCATTAAGAAAAAACTGGAAAATGAAAAAGGAAAATGGTTAGATGAGCTTCCGAACGTCTTGTGGGCTTACAGAACAACCCCAAGACGACCGACCGGAGAGAGCCCATTCGCTATGGCATACGGCACTGAGGCAGTGATACCAGTCGAGCACTTAGTTCCAACTGTAAGAAGCCTGGCGTGGGATCAAGAGCAGAATGATAGAATACTAAGGTTTAATCTCGATTTGCTGGAGGAAAAATGGGATGCGGCTGCAGTAAGGCTTGCCTCTTATCAACAGACGCTCGTGAATAACCATAACAAGAAGGTAAGGCACAGAGACTTCGCTCCTGGCGACCTGGTTCTGAAAAGGAAGGTGGGGATAGTCAAAAAGATGTTCTCCCCGTGGGAAGGTCCATACAGAATTGCAGAGGTCATAGGGAAGGGGGCGTACGTCCTGGAAACTATGGCAGGAAGGGTGATCAGTAAGTCATGGAATGCTACGTCCCTAAAAAGGTACTATCAGTAGAAGTAGAATTTAATTTCAAACAATATGCACGCTTTAAATTGCATACTTGCAAGTGTACGAAATTCCCGAGTTTTATAAAAAAAAAATGTTTACTTTGCTTAAAAAATCAGTTGACATCCTTTCCATTCAGCAAAGTTAGTGGCAGCTGACACTTTGAGCAGAACGCTAAACACTTACTCAAAAATAAAAATAAAGCCAAGTGGCAAGTAGCGTTCAAGTCGAGCGCCAGGCATTCAGCAAAGTTAGTGGCAGCTAGCACTTTGAGCCGAACGCCAAACACTTGCTCAAAAATAAAAGTAAAGCCAAGTGGCAAGTGGCGTTCAAGCCGAGCGTCAGGCATTCAGTAAAGTTAGTGGCAGCTGGCACTTTGAGCCGAACGCCAAACGCTTGCTTAAAAATAAAAATAAAGCTAAGTGGCAAGTGGCGTTCAAGCCGAGCGCTAGGCATTCAGCAAAGTTAGTGGCAGCTGGCACTTTGAGCCGAACGCCAAACACTTGCTCAAAAATAAAAATAAAGGCAAGTGGCAAGTGGCGTTCAAGCCGAGCGCCAGACATTCAGCGAAGTTAGTGGCACCTGACACTTTGAGCCGAATGCTAAACACTTGCTCAAAAATAAAAATAAAGCCAAGTGGCAAGTGGTGTTCAAGCCGAGCGCCAGGTATTCAGCAAAGTTAGTGGCAGCTGACACTTTGAGCCAAACGCCAAACACTTGCTCAAAAATAAAAATAAAGCCAAGTGGCAAGTGGCGTTCAAGCCGTGCGCCAGGCATTCAGTAAAGTTAGTGGCAGCTGGCACTTTGAGCCAAACGCTAAACACTTGCTCAAAAATAAAAATAAAGCCAAGTGGCAAGTGGCGTTTAAGCCAAGCGCCAGACATTCAGCAAAGTTAGTGGTAGTTGGTGCTTTGAGCTGAACGCTAAACAGTTGCTCAAAAATAAAAATAAAGCCAAGTGGCAAGTGGCGTTCAAGCCGAGCGCCAGGCATTCAGCAAAGTCAGTGGTAGCTGACACTACGAGCCGAACGCCAAACACTTGCTCAAAAATAAAAATAAAACCAAGTGGCAAGTGGCGTTCAAGCTGAGCGCCAGGCATTCAGTAAAGTTAGTGGCAGCTGGCACTACGAGCGAAACGCCGAACACTTGCTCAAAATAAAATAAAGACAGAACGGTAACCAGGCGAACACCAAACACTTATGAAAATACACAGCAAGGTTGAAAATGGAAAACTTGAAGAATGGAAGTCATGCTGAACAAAAGCATTGTCATTCATTACAAAAAGGTCCTGAGGTACATAGCTTGATAATCTGAGGATACATGAAGATATATATATAAAATAAAAAATAAAAAAAAATTGCTGCAAGATGTCAGTTCTCATGGTCTTCTCCAGGCTGTGACCTATCGTTCTCCCCACTATTACCCTCTGGACCATTAAGGTCTTCTCCATTCTCAGCTGCCCTATCATCCTTAGGGGGGGAGTCAAGATGAATCACCCCCTCAGCTAGCATAAGTTTGTCAATAACAACTGAGGAAGAGGGCACAATAGTAGAAATAGGAGGAATATTCAGGGGATGGAAGGGTGTAACAATTCCTGAGGATGCAACCTCTATGCACTCGATGAAGATATGCTTAGCAGGGTCACAGGGTGGGTTTTGATAATTGTTTAGGGGGTGGATATCCAAAGAAGCATCTAATTCATCTGGACCAGTGTAATACCCCTAATTTAAAAGGATAGTCTCGGCACTTATTTATTATTTTTGTTGTATTTTTGCATAATTATTTGGTTTAATTATTTTATGTAATTGTTTACCTGTGTGACGTGTATTTAATTGGTATCTATTTATTTGTTTAAATTGCATTTTTTATTTTATTTAATTGATTATTAAAGGTTTTAATTTAGGAAGTAATTTAGGAAGTATTTTAATTAACTATTTTTTTTTCATAATTGAGGGTTTAGTTTCTTTAGCCGACACAGGATTTAATTAAGTTCTATGGGCCGGTTAGGATTTAGTTAGGGCTTTAATTAATTTAGAGTTTTGGTATAACTCTATAAATATATGGGTATACGTCTGCCGAGGGTTTCTAAAACCCTATTCACCATATTCCCGTATACAGTAAAGAGAGAAGTTGAGAGAACAGAGAATCGTAACGGTCTGTCAAGGAGAATAACAGAGAGGACCAAAGGAGGTGTTTGGTGGATTAGATCAGAACCAGAGGAGGCTAGAAGGTAGTCAGTGGTTGCCGGAAAGCTTAGAACAACGGCGACAAGGTTCTGTTTATAAAACTGTACAGGCAAGTTCTTCTCTTTCTCCTTCCCTTTGGCTCGTGTTCTGTGTACCTAGATAGTCTCTAGGGATTAACTAATTAGTAAATGAAACTTATGTGTTCAAGGTATGCTTGTTGATGATTTGTTTGCATTGAATCCAAATCTGTTTATAGTTCGTGTGTTGTTACTTCCTGTTCTGTTTATTAAAGCATATTAAAAATCTGTTGAGTTTTGGTTATGATTCTTGCCTCTATCTTCTGTAAACAAACCCTAGGGATGTTAATGGGATGTTATAAGACTCCTAAGATCAGTTTGTGAAGAGAAACAGAGAGGTTGGAATAGAATTATAATTTCAGTTTGGTTCCTAACGCAGGTTAGTTCGGTAGCAAATTTAGTCTCTGTAATTGTTTTTAATTGTTGTTATCAAGCCATTGGGATGCTACTGGGTATTAATAGGACACCTAAGTTTGGTTTTAAAAACTAACAGAGGGTTAGGAATAAGCCGGAGAAGGAGCACAAGAGCTGAAACACGCACCGGGGACGAAGGCTCTCATAGGAGGTGAGAGCCGGCTCCATAGAAGTGGAAACACGCACCGGGGACGAAGGCTCTCATAGGAGGTGAGAGCCGGCTCCATAGAAGTGGGAGCCGGCTCCCACAACAAAGTGGAGCCGGCTCTAGGGAGTCCTAGAGCCGGCTCTAGGCTGGAAAAGAGCCTGCTCCAAATTCTGGAGCAGGCTCCCTTGTTATTTTGATTTATTTTACGGTTTTTTTTAATTTTCTACATACTATGTTCACTGTCGGAGCATGGAGACTGTTTGAATGAATCTGGAACTTTACAGAGGGATCAAGGAATGAATTTTGAGTGTTATTAAGACCCTAAATTGAGTAAAGTTTAATTCTAAGTTGTCGGGACAAACAGTGTAAAAATTAAGGCACTTAACAAATGGAAGTTGAATTAATTGTTGAATTAAAATTCAGCAATTTGATGGAACATAATGTGTTTATAAAACTTGTTTTAGAATGCATTCAAGTGCATGATAAGGTCATTTAATTATTAATTTTGGTCTATGCATGCTTAGGAGGCTAGTTGCTGAATTATTAAATTGTTTACTGCAACTATATGGTTAATGCTTGGATTTAAACTGCTGAAATATTTAAACAATCTTCTGAATTGTTTTAGCAATTTATTGGTTAATAATAGGATTATTTAACCTATTCAAATGCATGATGGAGTCTCTGACATATTAACTTCGGTCTATGCATGCTCTGGATGTTAGTTGTTGATTTGTTAAATCGTCTCTTGCAACTATATGGTTAAATGCTTGGATTTAAATTGCTGAAGCTTTAAATATTTTTCTGCAATTGTTTGGATGGTAGTTTTTGGTCTGTAAATTATTGAACTGTTATGTATGTTGTAATTTACATGGATATGGAGGATGGTATGTACCGGTATGGGACGGTGACATACTAGGGACGGTTTAGCTCAAAACGCATAAACCTAACCTAGTGGATTAATGGAATGGATTGAAAGATATCAAATCCTAATTGTGGCTAAGTCAGATCAGCTGTAAACAAGTTGGATGACTTCCTGGATTAACGGATGGTAGTTAAGTCATATCAACTGAATAAGTTGAATGACTAACTAGTTGGTTTATTGTATGACAGTTTAATAAATAGTTGAACTGCATACCCTGGATTTGGACGGACTTTATATATATGGTTATGGTACCACGAGTTGAGCTTGAGTCTCAGACTCGTTGGTTAGGGTGCGTATATGCAGTGGATGCGTAGTTGGTTATAATAGGTTGAGGTGTACCCTGTTAGGTCTATGTATTCATGCCCACCTATGGGTGCGTATTCGCATGTTGCCTTCTATTCAGGTTGAGACCCCTATTATAGACTGGTGAATGTCCCTTAGTGTGGATATATTTATACGTATGGACTAGATAGATATTGTGAGGTGTCTACGGTGTATCTGCGTATCGGGTCACTGTATGGATTGCAGTTAGATTAAAACTTGCTCGTGGGT